TTTAAGCAAGGCTAATTACCCTATGGACCATGGTTAGGATTCATGTTTTTTTATGCTAAGGTGGGAGAACTTGTTGGGAAGAGATTGCCATGTTAGGATTTGGAATAGAGACCTTTAAGTGGCAGAGAAGAGGTGAACAACTTAGAACCCCCAAATCTCTAGAACTTACCTTCAGAATGGAAGTTTCCTTTCTCCTTTCTCTGCTAGTGACTATGAAAAGTTCTGGTGGAAGGTTGATGTTACAGCTTTAAAAGAAAGAGCATGAATGGACTGAAATGACTCTAGGCTGATGAAATTTAGGGTCACATCTCCCATTAGGCAAGATTTCTTCATTTGATTGAAGGGGAAAAAATGAATGCTAAGGTAATCAAGGTAAAATATTTACCTCCTTGTTCCCCCACTCCTTCCTGTACTAGTTATCTCTTGCTGTATAATAAGGTACCCCCAAAATCCAACAGTTTAAAACCATCATTGATTATATCATGATTTCTGTGGATTAGGACTCAGACTTGGCTTAGTTGGATCCTTTGCTTAGGTTCTGTCATGGGGCTGAAATCTCATCCAAGGACATGTTTGGTAGAGAATCCACTTCCATTGGGGTGTTGGATGAGGGACTTAATTCCTTGCTAGGCCAGAGACTTCTCTCATGTCCATGCTCATAGCATGCCAGCTGGTTTCTATGAGAGTAAGCAAATAAGAGAACGAGAGAATGTCCAAGAAGTAGGGCACGATAAAAGCTTATCTCAGAAGTGATAATCTAACACTTTGCTCTTTATTCCTTAGTAGTATATTACATCCAGCTTATCTTCAAGGAGCGAATATTATAGAAGAAAATGAATATTGAGGATAGAGATCCATTGTGGGCTACCTTAGATTCTGGCTTTCTTATCCTCAATTCATTCTCTCTTGTCTTCTGCCCTACTATGGATCTAAGCTGGATTGCCCCTGACCTGAGTGGGCCTCCAATGGGAACCTCCAGCAAGAGAATGGGAAAGGAAATAGTCTCAATATTTCTTCCCCTCGAGCTCTGTCTGTAGCTCTGCTTCCACAGATCTAGCCCTCACTGAGAACTGTTATGGCCATTTCCCTCACTCCTCCTGTAGAACTGTGGCTTTCCACAGTTGCCAGTCCTTGGATGCCTGGGATTGAATCCAGGACATTCATGCTGTGCTACATCTCTACCCCTTTTAATTTTTTTTTTTTAGACTGGGTCTCACTAAATTACCTAGTTTGGCCTTGAACTGTAATCCTCATGCTTTACCCTCAGAGAGTACTAAGATAACAGGCATGACCACCACATGCAGCTCTTTCCTGATTGTTCAACTCTACCTTTTCATTAAATTCTCTTTTGTTTCCTCAGTAAGATCTCTAATAATGCACATTTCCTAAAGGAAGAGATTCTATATTGTACTTTTAGTTCTAGAATTTTGCATAGTTGGCACTTATTGCAGGATGGATGATGAGTAGGTGGGTAGATGGGTGAAATTAATTCATATTAGCTCAGTAATGTGAAAGAAGAAAGAAAGTATTGAAAATTCTTCAGTAACATGGAGACATTACATCTCTGATGTTTTGTCTAAGACCATAAAGAAGAAAGTTTTAAATGATCTCTAAAGAACAGTAGTACTTCTCAAAAAGTAATTTTTTCTTCTAATATAGAAGGAAAAAACAAATTTATTTAAATCAAGACACTAAATTTATAACAGTGTAAAAGGAGTTTTTCAGAGGATTACCAAATCTTTGGAGATATAAATGCATAACAAATTGGCTTAATATTAAATAATTATAGCCAGGGAGTATGACTATTTTTATATCATTCCTAAAAATTAAGATGATTCCATCCATCTGTGTAGTATTTGCCAATGATTTTTTTTCAATTTTAATGATTAAGGGAAACTAAATTGATGTTTGAAAACATTTAAAAATTTTAGGCATAAAATACTTCATAACAAATCATACCCTGATTTTTCAAAGTAATGTATGGTAAGTTAAAAAAAAGAAACTCTGAAGAAAAGACAGCTAAAAGTGTTGACTAAATTAGATTTTTTTTTCTTCAAGATGCAATATTATGGAAAAGTGGCATTTCCACAATTTACTTTTTCAGGGCAAAGTACTATTATTTTCTGAGCTATTAGCTTTGGTACTTTTGCCGCCATAATGAAAAATATCTTCAGTGTGCAGGAGTACAATTTCCCTGTCAGTGTGATGTAAATCTTAATGACCATCTGTTTTTGTTCTGCAAAGTGTTTTATAGCAACATGGAAATAATTATCAAAAATTGACTGGCTCAATCTTGTCTCAACCTGCAATAACTCCAGGATGCATGTACTTGAACAATAAATTTATAGTTTTTACTCTTCCCGAAGCTCATATGGTTACTTGCAATGGGTTTGTGAATTTGGGAACATTGTAAGGGTAAAGATTATGAGGAAGAACAAAATGTTTGGGCAAAATCCAGTCCATTCTGGAGCATTTTATCATGGGGGAATTCATTTATAAATATTGCTCAGCTAATTTATGTATTAAAAATCTCTAGAAATACCTTTTCTCATCTTAATTGGCAGTTTTATTGGCATAACATTAGCAACAGCTATCATCAATAACATTGATTGACCTGAAAGAAACCTAATATGTTATGCTATAGGACATAAAAATATTTCAAAGAGTTTGCACCTTTTTCCTGACATTTTCCATCAGTAAAATAAAAAAAAAGAACTAATAAGGTGATACAAGCTAATGATTTCCCAAAATAAACTCTAATACCAATACCCCTCTCTTCCATGTTAAGTATAAATGCACAGGCCCAAGTATACCCATATATCAGCATATTCAAGGATATTCTCAGTGTTGCAATCTTAAACTACTTTATAAACCCCAAAGTAGGCTATCTAGGAAATGCTCGGCTAATAGCCAGAATCTTTTCTTAAAAACATTTTTCATCAACATTCCAAGTAGGTAATAAAAGATGTGATTGAATATGGAGCAGGCAAAAGTAAAAAAACCTTCCACAAATCCATTTATTTCTCAGAAATCAAAACATTCTATTGGGAAATCTGTTACTCACTCACCTGCCAAGTTCTAAGTTTAGAAATCTTTGTTTTCACTGTAACAGTTGATGCTACTGAAAACTGCTAAGTCACTTGAAGAACCTGCTCCCTGTTCTATTTCAGATGTTTTTCTTCAGTAACTTTTTAATATAAAAGCTTCTCACCCTAAACTTGCAGAAATAGTAATGGATTCTTTGTATCATCTATGTGTTTATATATCTGTAATTCTCCAGCTGTCATAAAATAAGGGCCTCTACAGTGCCTGATTGCACAAACATCTTCTTTTAATATTGTTCAATTTTTTTGGTACTGGGGATTGAACTCGGGTCCTTGTGCTTGCAAGGCAGGCATCCGAACTGCTGAGCTAAATCCCTGTTCCAGTATTGTTCAATTTTAATATTAAATCAACCCTTTTCTCCAGGTATCACTTGAATGTGACTGCACCAATAACTGTGTCAAATTAGTCACTATTTTGATAAGATGTTGTTTCTTGGTTATCTTCTGTATGCATGCATACCATATACCATGGTATATTTATGTTTTGTATCTTCACTTTGCATTTTTAGTGAGAAGAGGCTGAAAAGCCAGAATCTGCTGAACACTATCTTCCTCGTACCTAGTACAAGTATGGTATATGAAGCTCTCTCTAGTAGGGCCATTTTAGTTAATAAAGTTGAAGGGACCAAGGAAAATATATAATCTGATAATGTTGTAAGGAAAATAATTCAGTAACAGTAAATCGTGCATACCAAAAGTTTATCTGGGAAGGATATGAAACCATAATCTTTTCCAATAGGTTTGGGGCCAGATTTCACTTTTCATTGTGACTTCAAATTATACAATGTGTCAGTTATTTAAGGTGTGTTCTTCAGAACATCAGAATTTTTTAAAAGTATCTTTTATTTCCCCACATGCTATCATGTAACTGAGATTTAGAAAAACTTCCAAAGATTAAAGAATACATATAAAAGATTAGAAACAGCAGAGCTGTTTTTGTTCCCTCTCTCCAGTGTGGGGAAAAAGCAAAACATTGTTGACCTATAAGGATAAGGAAAACAGATTTCCACCTGTCAGCCTATAAGGAACCACTGAAAACAAGGAATGAAAAGTTTTAGAACTTGTTAGAGGATTCCATATAGAAACAAGCAATTATTGGGTAAGAACAAACTGAGCATTTGTCAAGGTCTGCCAAAAATCTGCTGTCTCATGCTTCTTTGGTACAGAACTTGCTTTCTATTCCTTTGTAACTCTACTGTGAACTTTGTGACCTATGGAGGAAATAAAGGAACTCAAGAATTAAATAGGACTATTCTTATTGGAAGAAGAATGAGAGACTAGAGGATTTATTATTTATAAACTATGCCAAGAAGGAATGCCAACCTAGGGGATTAAACTTTATCTGAAAATAACTTTGATTCTAATAATATATAACTGCTGTAAGTCTATGAAATATGTATTGTACTGAAATAATTACATGAATAATATAAAATTACATTTGTGAGGCTTATTTATGTACGTATAATCTAAATAATTGTTTTTAAAATACAGTATTTTTATCTTGAGTAAGTTTAGATTACTCTTGCTTTGTGTGCCTCAGTTTCCCCATCCACAAAATGGGAATAACAAGGAAATTAAACCATAATTTTTAATTACCATTAATATGTACAATTTATGCAAAACATTTAGGTCTGTGCTTGACACAGAGTAAACATTCAATAAATGCTATTACCATGTTCCTGATAATATAGAAACTTATAAAATATGGCTCACTGTTTCAATTTTCCAGTATACCTTAAAATGGAAAGTTTCTGTGTGAATGGCTGGAATAGGCTAACTAAAGTCCCCAGAATACATTCAGGTACGGAGAACCTTATTCCTGGAATCTGTGAATATTAGTTTACATGGCAAAAGGAACTTTTTAAAAAAAAGATAATTTTTTTCTGAATTATCCAGGTGAGCCATACATGTAATCACGAGTGTCATTTGAAGAGATAAACAGAGGCTGATCTGATTACAAAACAGAATAGAAGACAGTATATGACTGAAACGAGATGCTCAATTGCTTGTCTGAAGATAGAGGAAGAGCCTAAAAGCCAAAAAACAACAACAACAAAAACAACAACAACAAAAAGCAACCAAAACCAAACCAAACAAACAAAAATGAAGAGCAGAGCTCTCAAAACTGGAAAAGAAAGAAAATGACAGATTCTCTTCTGGGCTCGCCCAGTGGGTCACAGTCCTGCCAGAACCTTGATTTTGCCATATGAAATTGATTTCGGACGTCTCTCTCCCAGAACTGTAGGAGAGTAAGTCTGTGTTATTTTAAGCCACTATTTGTGGTAATTTATTATACTCATCATAAGAAAATAATACAAAGTCTTCTATTCTCTTTAATTAGTTAATTATTTAAATAGGCATGGAAAGGTGTGATTATCCAGTTATTTAGTCAAATATAGATCTGTTTGCTTGAGTTTTATAAATTAATAGTTCTTTCTCCTCTTTCTCTACAACCAATTTAACTTTTTAGATAGAGCTGTGATCATTTAGTGGGAGGGTTTTAACTCTCTCCCTTTGCTCAATTTCCCATGTAAGCACTCACTCTTTAATTTGATTATCAGGGTATATGATACTACTTTTTAAGTGGCTGTTTTAAATACAGACACAAAGACTGAAACATTTTACAAAATGTAGATTGATCAAACAGAAAAATGCTTGTTATTGTGAAAATAGAATATTGGCTTTGGAGTCATTAAATCCAAATGTGGGAGTATATCTTCAATATGTATCCATTTTCCTATGAATGAATCTATTTTCTCATTCTTTATGGCTGAGTAATATTCCATTTTATAGAAAAAACCACATCTTCTTTATCCAGTTTCCAACGGATGGGCATATACTCCTAAGTGAAGTAAATAAGTCACACGTGTAAATACCGAATAGTTTCCCTGGTGTGAATAATCTGCAACAATGCATAAGATTCTAATAAGATTACTGACATTTAGAAATGGGAAGAAAGGAGCTAAAGGTGTAGGGAAGGTGGGATGGGTAGGGGAAGAGTAAAAAGGGAAAAGAAAAAAATGTGAGAGAATGAAAAGATGAAAATAAAGTGTTTGTAGATGGGGAGGGGAAGAGGGGGTGAAGGGAGGGCAGAGGTAAGGGGAAAAAATGAGAATCAAGACTTGTCATGTAGGGGTACAAGATCCCAACAATGAATGTAACTGTACTGTATCCCTAAAATGTACCAATAAACTCAATTAAAGCTAAAAAAAAAAATCCAAATTTGAACAGTGGCTCTCTGTTGAGTCTTGAAACCTTTATCACCTTTGGGTTATACTTTCCTCCTGTGTAAACACTGGTAGGAGTTCATAGAAAGAGACTTATGGGACAAAAACTGTTTCATATATTTATAATCAGATTAAAATACTCCAGGCCTACTTTCTCTCTAGTCGTAGAAATTCTCGTTATCTAATGTTTCTCTGAATTTATGACTCCACTCACTACAACCTCTACCCTAGACTTCAAAATTGCTAGCCACACAAAAAGCTTTGGCGTCTACTGATCCCAGTGGCCTCGGGGCTACCTCTGTGGTCTCCTTCACTTCTGAAGGAGGGTACAGTCTGATCTTCATGTCTTCTGTGTAGATCAACACTGAGTCTCCAGAAATACAATAAGAATGGAATCTTAAGTTGAATGGGCAGGCAGAGGGTAAAAGATATCCTTATGTCAGTGTTGTGCTATATCCCTGGCATGTTTGATAATGGATAGACATCGCAGTGCCACAGAAAGTTTTACTTCAGTTCTTTGATTCTCTCACACATGTATTTTCCCTTGGGCATAATCCTCAGTACTAAATTTGATAAATCCTAAGGGATGATAGCAAGAATTTAGATAAGTTCATATTTAATAAATCCATCAAATATTAGTTGGTAGCTGCCAGCTCTGTTTAAGAGAGCTTTGTAATCTTTTATGGATACTATTAATAAAAATAATAGTGATCTTCTGGGAACTATGCCAGTACCACCAATCAAAACACAGCATTTAGCCCTAATCAGATATTTAATCTCAAATTCTTCTCACAGGATTAAACAAATTTATAGATGTTTTCCTTAGAACATTACCAAATAGCAAATTCTTCATAATATATACCATCTCTATAAACTTGAAGATACGGGCTTGTAAAGTCTTTTAGGAACATTTGCTTACCAAGAAAAACTGGTTTACTTGGTCTTCTGACCAAATTTCCAAATCTTTTGACTCTTTTCACAGAGTTAAACTGTGTATTAGTTGTATCATTTACTTGATACTAGCTCATTGCTAAGTTAAACCTATTAATTGAATACATAGCATTAATTTTTTTCTATCGGGACAAATCTTGATCACCTACTGATTGGTCAAATAAAAATGGTATTGTATTCTAAGACTTAAGTGGTTCTTGACTTTTGGAATGATAAGCTTCCCTGAATTACAGTGGATATATGCAAAGCCTGCAAAACATGGCCTGTAGCATGTCAGGAGGCTTTTGTAGTCTACAGTTAAGAAGTTGAGAATTTCTCAGATACAAAGAACTTAAAATATTAGTACAATTTTCAGAATTATGTATCAGAATTTAAAGATTTAGGTTGGATATTTGTTCTGCCGTGGGTACAAGCTGCTCACATTCAGGTAGATTGTATGTTTTTTACCTGTTGGGGTACTAAGATAGACCAAAATAAAATGTGATTTGTTATATATACATAAATATAGATATAACGAATGTTATATATATATATATACATACATAAATATAGATATAACAAATGTCATATATAAATAGATAGATAGATAGATAGATATAGATATATATGGAGAGAGAGAATCTACTATTATATTGTATAATGTTGCTTGGGTTGTCCTGAAATACCACATACTGAGAGACTTAAACAACATAAATTAATTTTTGTGTTGTTCTGTAAGCTGGAAATTCAAACTCAAGGTGAGGTTGATTTGCTCTAAGATCTCTCTTGCTCTGGCCTGTAGATGGCTACCCTCTCCCTGCATCTTCCAGTTATTATCCCTCTGTGCTGTGCAGCCTTTGTGTTTGTGTGTGAAAATTCTATCTCTCTTTTTTAAAGATATTAATCAAATTATATTAGAATCACCCACATGACCTCATTTAAGCTTAATGACTTATTAGAAAATCCTATTTCCAAATACAGTTGCGTTCAGGCATATTAGGGGTTAGATCTTCAAAATATGAGTTTTGGAAGAAATAATTTAGACACTAGTATCTAAAATAATTTCTTTTTCTTTCTTTTTTCTTTTTTGAGACAGGGTCTGCTATGTAGTTCAGGCTGGCCTTGAAGTCACTATTTTACACAGGCTGGCCTCAAACTCATGGCAATCATCCTGCCTCAACTTTCCAAGTGCTAGGATTACAAGCACATGCCGTCCTACCATCATGCCCAGCTGGAATTATTGCTTTTTAAATTTTTATTTTAAAAGCATATCTCATGTCCAAATTTGTATAATGGAATTATCCCATAGGTTCATAACTCTATATAAGAATTATACCTCATTTTCATAAGTTAAACTGATGTCCATAAAATTGACATTGGTTAATTTGTTTCTCAAGCAAACAACCATACATAAAGGCTTTGTAAACTAAAAATTCAAATAACTGGAGTTCAAGGATCTTTCCCTAATTTTAAAAGTCATCATGAGACAAGTTATATATTTAGTAGCTGATTATGTAAATATGTATGATATTTAATAAATTATATTTGTTTTTTAAGCAGAAGAGCTGGTATGTAGATTTAGGAAGGTATGGACAATACAAATGATATTTTAATCCTTACAGCTAATTATTTTTCTATATTGCATGTATATAAATAATATATTTGCACACTTGTCAGCTGAGAATAGAAATCACAAAGGAAAAAAATTGGTGTGTTTATATTACAGTAGAATAAAAGATCAAACATTAGACATACATTTAGAAATAGCACATTTATTGTTAACTTTCACTCAAATAAAACATATTGGTATATATGCAGAAATGACAAAAAGTGAATACAAAGGGAAAAATAACATAGCTGAAGCACGGACACAAATCCACAGCAAATAAAATTAATATTGGATATTAAGATGGTTAATATTTAGGTAATAAATCTTGGAATATCAAGGTTATCAGAAGGTCAACTTACGTATTTGTGAAAAAGATAGCAAAAAAGATCACTGATTTCTTTTCTTTCCTTACCAAAAATCTTTCTACAAAAAAAATCAGTATTTTGTAAGAATTCAACTTTTTTTTCAATTTCCAATTTGTAACCAGTTTTGAGCAATATTAAAGGTATTTAAATCCAGGAAGTATGCAAAATATTAACAAAATTTTAACCCTATTGTGAAGTGTATCAGATGAACAACAGAAGTAATTGCTGTCAGTTTGTGCTTTTTTGACCAATAATTCTCTGTATTTCCTGCAAGTAACTTGAGTGATGCAAATGACCTTATTTTTACAGCATGCTTTTATTAAATAGTTTATTATTTTGGCAGACTAATAAAGATTTTGGTATTTGCTTTTATTTGCAATAATATTACCACCACATAAAAAAGGATTTTATGTTCTTTTTGAGGAACAAGGAGGATAAAAGTGGTGATGGATAGCGCAACTGAGGCATCAGCAATGAGCTGGAAATGAGACACATAAATATGAAAGCAGAGCTAAGAAAATAGAACTGCACCCTTGGCCTTTCTTAAAAGAACATGCGCACTTCGTGGTTCATTCACACTGTTCGACTACTCCTTTTGTTTCCAATGAATCAGATAATGCATGTAAAGTCTGAACTACTATTTTTGCTGATAGCTGCCTGACTCCTATTTAATTAGATTCATTTCAGGACAATATTTCCAAGTTTTCTGAAGATGTTTTGATTTGAGGAAAAAACAATTCACTGAAAAGTTGGTGGACATAGGAACTGAAGGGGAATCAGAGCAGACACAGTAGTCTCACAATTATTTAGCAGGAAGCACAGAAATGAAAACATTC